TCTCCCTCTTTCTCTGTCTCTCTCTGGAGAATGAAAATTTAAAATAATAATAATAAATGAAAATCGAAGAAATAATTATTTTAAAAATAGCTTTTATAAATATAACTATTATAATTATTAGTTATATTTAGAGACTCATAAATTGTTATAGATTCTTGTCCCACGTGGATACTAAAGGATCATTGCTCAAGACCTGATACAGAGCTACTAATGACACTCTCCTAGGAGCAGGAAGTTGGGGAGGCATGTATGGGTTATCAAAAAAGGGGGAAACCATTGAAATATTTTTATGGTTTAATCAGAATTGTTATAAGATGGCCAGGATAGACCAGCCTCATGACCTAGCTATTAAGAGGGCTGGATCCCACATGGCTAACTGTGGTTCAAATCCCAACTGCTGCAGTTTGAAAAACATAGCAGGCATCGTTGCAGAAAACCAGATGCTGAGGAATGGAAAGCAGCACTCAGAGAGATTATGGAGATCTGTTTATCATGTCAGCGGGCATGAAGGAGTTAAGCTCAAAATCTCCAACCCCAACTGGAGTTTGGGCATGGTCTTTAATGGGGGAATTGGGGAAGGGCGGTCTCCGGGTAGGAATTGGGCTCAGATCCTGCCCTACACAGCATCAAAGGGAGAATTCAGAGAGGCAGGAAATCTAATCCATTCAAGGTACTAACCCACCCAAGGTTTTCAGGTTATCCTGTAGCTCCAGGGAAGGGCAGTAAGTTTGGTGGAGGGCAGAAACCTTAGACAGCTCTCAGCCCTGAGTTATTAGTCTTAGGAATTTAACAGTTTATAATGGAGATGCTCCCCAAGATGGAGTCTTTACCTGCTTCAGCATGTGTGTGTTATATGCCCAAAATCTCAACAGGAAGGAGAAATGAAGGAGAAAGGATTGTGGTGTGATCATGCTCCTTTGGGACCTGCTTTCTCTCTCTCTCTCCCTCTCGGTCTTTCTCTGCAGAATGCATATGCCCTCTGGGAATTTAAAAAAAAAAAAAAGTGCCCTAGGTACTTATTTAAAATTCTTTTCAGAAAAAAAGTGTACAGGTTAACAGAGAGGAATTTGTAAGATAGAAAAGAATGATAGGGCAAGATAGGCCCTTGAGACTCCTTATCTCACTAAGAATTCAAAGGGAGACTACTTACTATTTTAAGTTTGGTCCATTTATTCTAGAGTTTGTTAAGGAACTATATCATCCAGAACTTGGAAACAAGGCAAAAATATTACTGCCTAACTTAACAAGCCTACCCTAGCATCATCTGAGCTTGGGTGGCAAGGTATATCTGATTCAGGTACTCCCCCAAAGTGGCATACAATGACCCAAGACTTCAGCCAAACCCGGCTCTCCACTGGTTTCTATAAAACTGTGAGCTAAGAATAGTTTTTATAATTGTAAGTGACTGGGAAAAGATCAAAATAACATTTTGTCTTACTCATATGAAATTCAAATTTTAGTGTCCATAAATAAAATTATATTGGAATGCAGTCATATTTGTTCCATTAAGTATTGTCTATGCTTTTGAGCTTCACACATCTGTAGATTTTTGCCTCTTGTAGGACAAAGTGTGTCAAACCCTTCCCTACAGAATGTTGCTTCGTTTTCTTTTTTTTTTTCTTAAGAGATAGTTTTGCTATAGGGCACTTGTGCTAGCTGGAGAGACAGAGAGAGACAGAGAGGCAGAAAGCAGAAAATCACTCCTCCCAAAGGAGACGACCACGCCACAATCCTTCTTTTCTCAGGATCTTGTGCATGCACGCACATGTACCTGGCGTGAGTTTAAGTCACTGGGTCTGGGACTCAAACCACAGTCGACTATGTGGGAGTCCAGTGACATAATCATTATGTCATCTGCTAGTCTCCCTGTTTTGTTTTTTATTGGTGAGGGTTCAGACTCTGGGGTGTTAGGTGTTATCTTGAGGAAGATGGATAAATTACAAATGTTCTCTTTTCTCTTTTAAAGATGCAAGTAGTGTGTGTTCCCACATACACGAAAAAACTCCCAAAGGCTACGGATTTATCACCTTGTACATTATGAACCAGCTCTGCTTCTCATTTTTCAGTTTCATTCTAGCTTTGTCTTTTCTGTTCACTGTTTCAGTTTGTTATATCCTCCTTCGAATGATCAGCTTTGTGATCCCGTTTTGTTCTTTTATTAATCAGTTAAATACTTCTCTAACATAAGCTGATACATATTTTTACTATATTCTTAACTTTCTGAAAATTTATTTTGAAAAATTTCAAAAATGAATCATTTCATTAAAATGGTCCTCTAATGGTCATTTTAAGCGTTGACCAGTTCTATGATTCTAAGAATTTGTATGCTTTTTTCTCACTATGCAAAATAGTGAAAGCTGCCAGAGTGCCTTTGGGAAGTAGATCAATTTTTCTTGAAATACATGAATCCTTATACAGAGAACAAAATAGTGGCTGACAATGAGCTGGTGGGTGGGTGCCTGGTTTCTTAGAAAAAGCTATAACATTGTTGAAATCTTGTCTAGAAAGGCTCATTTCTTTTCTTTTTTTGAGAGGTTTTTGCTATAGGGCACATGCGCTCACCAGAAAGACAGAAAGAACGACAGAAAGTGAGAAATCACCCCCAGGAGGGATGGCCACACCACAATCCCTTCTCCTCCATTCTCCTCTTGGAATCTTGGGCACGCACACACACGCCAAGCATAAGTTTAAGCCACCAGGTTCGGGACTCGAACCGCAGTCGACTACATGGGAGTCCAGTGATATAGCCATTACGCATTCTTAACTTTCTGAAAATTTATTTTGAAAAATTTCAAAAATGAATCATTTTATTAAAATGGTCCTCTAATGGTCATTTTAAGCGTTGACCAGTTCTATGATTCTAAGAATTTGTATGCTTTTTTCTCACTATGCAAAATAGTGAAAGCTGCCAGAGTGCCTTTGGGAAGTAGATCAATTTTTCTTGAAATACATGAATCCTTATACAGAGAACAAAATAGTGGCTGACAATGAGCTGGTGGGTGGGTGCCTGGTTTCTTAGAAAAAGCTATAACATTGTTGAAATCTTGTCTAGAAAGGCTCATTTCTTTTCTTTTTTTGAGAGGTTTTTGCTATAGGGCACATGCGCTCACCAGAAAGACAGAAAGAACGACAGAAAGTGAGAAATCACCCCCAGGAGGGATGGCCACACCACAATCCCTTCTCCTCCATTCTCCTCTTGGAATCTTGGGCACGCACACACACGCCAAGCATAAGTTTAAGCCACCAGGTTCGGGACTCGAACCGCAGTCGACTACATGGGAGTCCAGTGATATAGCCATTACGCCAACTGCTGGTCCTGAAAGGCTCTTTTTTTCCCTGAAACTGGCTTGCAAAGTACATGCCTCAAAAAAACAGACCAGAGATTGGACAGTTTTTTCTTTACAAACATTACATGTTCAAGAGTAAATGCCTGCTCCCTGACCTGCAAGCGATGCTAGAAAAATCCAGGTGTTCAGTCTAGATCCCTTCAAGGGCCCAGCTTCTCTGTCTAGAGGCCTTTCATGCTTGCAGGACCTAACTCCTTCCAGGACTGCCAGACTGTTGCAGGGAGGCCCTGCTGAGGAGAAAATAGACTTGCTGGTCACATCAAAGCACATCCCTGCTTCTGCAGTGGCATCCATGTGCCCTCAATGGCTCTCAAATTTGAGTGCTGGGCTTCCTGCTCCCCAACCGAGTAAGCAGCTGAATGGCACCCCTAAACTACATCCCGTTACCTAGCATGGACTCCAAGTCTCTTGACCTTTGGGGGTGGTGGGAGAAACAGTACCCTAAACTAATTTGATTCCTCTTTTGCCTTCCCATTCTTCAATTTAAATGAAATAGATGACTGGGGCAAAAGGAAGGAAATTTTAACACTGTGAAAAAATTTAGTCCTAAAGCAAAGCCTAAGGACAGAGTGACCGTCTATGCTGCTTAGGGAAACAGGCGATATGGGCAGCACCCTGATATTTTGAATGCAACTGTTCTCACGACTTGTTTCCGTTTTGCTATTGTAGAGAAGGAAGGAAGTTATGTTTTTCTTTACCCTTCTCCCACTCCCAGCGGAATCTGCAGCATTTTCTGTCTCAGAGGCCACCCCTAACGCCGCTGCCACCCAGTGTTTTGTTTGGGAGCGTTTACTCCGTTGGGGAAGGTTCAATTGGATTATCCCGAGATTCTCTCAATACCGGGCTGCTGGTGCTGCAGGCGGTGGGGTGTGTGTCCTGGCAGTGTTGAGTGAGGGACGCGTGGGTCTGGATCTGGAATCCAGTCCCACTGAAAGCTACTCCCGCGTGGCAGGTGTTGAAAGGGCCCTTGCTGGGTGGAGCCAGGCTGTGAGTAGTGCAGAGTCTCACCCTCCTAAAACCGCCTCTCGGATTGAAGAGTAGATCATTGTTCTAAATCAGAAAAGTTATCCAGTAGCACGTTACTGCTGTTTCCCTTCCGACATCTCTGAGTCGTGTATCAACCCCATCCGCGGCCTGTCCCCGACGAATGAGGGGAAATGAGCAAACTCCGGGTCAGCACGCGATGGTCAGAAGAGCCAGCCCCGCCCCACCCCGACCCGCTTCACGTTGGCAGCTGGAGGGACTCGGGCCGCAGGCAGTTCCCTCCGGCGGAGGCTGCTTCCTCCCGCGAGGGCTTCTGGAACGCAGCTGGGCCTGACCTTGCAGCAGAGGCCAAGGTGCAACTAACCCTGGGCCGAACCGGGAGTGTTGCTCTGCCTTCCAGGGTTGTGAGAGTTACGTGAGCTGATTAAAGCGGAAAGCACAGAGCCTGCAACATACGAGGTCAATTAACAATCTCCTTTATTATCATTGCCATGAGCCCGTTATTTACAACGGGGGGGGGGGGAAAAATCTACCAACACCTGAGTACCGGAAAGGTCTGCAAAAGGGGTGGGACGAGGGAACCTCGATTTGAGGAGGGGGTGGCGGGGGCGATCCCACACTAGCAGCCAATCCAGCTGTCCCCGGGAGGAAGAGGAGGAGCCGGGGCCCGCCCGAGATTCCGCCCAGCTCACTCCCGCGCTGCGCGACTGGCCAGACTGCGGCTTCTCGGCGCGATCGGCCCCTTAGTCCCGGGCGCTTGCGGGTCGCAGCTCCCTCCACCGCGCAGACATGGCCTCGGGCGCCGCTAACAACGCTGTGAAGGTGAGACGAGCCCTCCAGGCTGCTGCCTGCTGTCGGCGCCTTGGGGTGGTGAGCCCCCGCCGCAGCGGGAAGGGACAGAGAGCGACACCCGGAGCGTTGCGCGGGGGAGAGGGTACGCCGGCATATTGACCCCCCGCCTTTGGGCTCTTTTGCACCGCACCCCGCAGGGCGTAGGCTAGGTGGCGAGAGGTAGTGACTGGGCTGCAGCCACCACCCTGGCCGAGTACCCGGCAGGTTGGCCTGGCAGGCGCTAGCGGGGGGCCCCGGGGGGTGGGTTTCTCGGGCCCGCGGGCGCCCCCCCC